AATCGTGAAACAAAACACAGTTCGAATGCCCCCCAAATGCAACCACATATTTTCTACAGTAATACTTTCTGAAGAATACCATATTTCTGAAGGCACCAGCAATCAACATGTTTCTCATTTGAAACTAAGTTTAATCTAACCTCCTGTTTCCTAGTTATTTGCCTTGGGTAAACCAGTGCCCAAGAATTTTCCTCATAAGAAAACTAAGGAACAAGCAGGATGAGAGCAGACTGATGGAAAACCACGAATTCATCAGAGATATGGAGCTCTCTGCAAGAGATGGAACAATGGTTGGATTAAGAGTCTGGAGTTGTCAGAGGTTTGTGGTGCTGCCTCAGAATCGACAGGATTTGGTTGACTGACCATATACTGGTCTCCCATACTTTACTTGAAGGAAGAGATAAAAGCTGCTTTAAATTAGTATGTGATTTGAGGGTAGGAATACCAAAGGTTTTAGAATAGCTATTTAAAAATTAGAGGTTTACAGCCACTACTTCCACATTGTCTTCTTTTCACTTAATAAACAACAAAATTTGGTGTTTAATGAAAGGTGATACAGTGTAATGGAAAAACCATGGTATGTCACTAATACCTGTTTGACTTTGGGGAAGTTGTTTAACTTCTCTGATCATCTGTTACCTCACACAAAATACAGACATACATAATGATGCTGAGCTGTGTTGAGACTAGTGCTGTGCTGAAATGAAAAAGTCCCTAGCACAGTGCCTGGTACACTGAAGAAAATAAATATTAGTTTCATATCTTTCTTTACCTATGTCACCAGAATATCTTAAGTTCTGTTTAACTCTTTTTTTTCTCTTCATTTCAGAAAGAATGGCCACTAGATATTTTCAGAGAACGCAGAATGAGGAGGTGGGCAGTCCTGGTTTTATTTTAGCATAACTTATAATACCCTCACCCATCTGTGAACATCTCAATCACTCTCTTTAAAGGAATGATAAGTACAAAAATAGACTAGAAGAACTCTCATGAGATACTCTGAAGCAAAAGGAAATTAGGTGTGATGCATGAAAGCATGGTGAACAGAGATACCAGCTGCTATTTGCCAGGGGAGTTTACAAAATGAAGCTTACTGGTTTTGAAGGCACCTAGTCAACTAGGCTAAATCTTCATGTCTTCTGGGCTCATGATTATAGTAGATGGACCTGTTAGTGTATTTTGTCAAACCAGAGAAAGATGAAGAATCATGGTGATGATGGAGGTACTCTCAACAGTGACAAATTCCTTCCCTGTCAGTTTTCTGCAATGACGACCTTTTTGGTAAAAGCTAAGTAAATATGACAATTCCACATAACAGAAATCCTTACTCACAATTTGGAAGGCCTAGTTTTAAAAACTTAAGTTAATTTCACCTCTGTAAAGCTGGGTTGAAAAACTATGTCCTTAATAACAGCACAATGTATCTATGCTTCTAAGAAGAAAAAAATCTTAGAAGCAGTAAAGGGATTCAGAACCATGTGACTGAGCTCTTGTCTCTTAGAAATGTGAATTCTGGGCTGAGAGGTGGGGAATTGCATCTCTAAGAATGGTGAAAATACCACTTGACTTTCTTACAGTGGGGAAATGGGAGCTCTGTGCAGATTCTAAGTGTGTTAACAGACTTTAATGTTTTTAAACAACAGAAAAGGACTAGCTTTCAAAACCTTTAACTTGAGGGGCTGGGGGAATTAGATAAGAAGAAGCAGGAGATGGGCCGGGGGTTCCCGGGCACTCGCGGCCCTTGCGCTCTTCCTAAAACAAAAACAGAAACAAAAACAAACAAAAAAAAAGAAGAACCAGGACAGACTGAGCTCTCTTAAGTGTTAATAGTCAAACTGACTAGCACTATCCTCCCTGCAGGCCACAGAGCAAACTGGCCTCTACGCACCTGAGTGAAAAACCATCTTTGAAAGCAGAGTATACTGTAAAAGCTAACTAAGAAAATCAAAAGGAACTGTTTTGCTAGGAAAAAAATTCAACACAGCATGTGTTAAAAGGATTTTTTTTTTCTTTTTTCTTCCTCTTTTTTTTTTTTTTAAACTTAAGGCTATGAAATGCTCTTGCTCTGTATCAAAAATAACAGGCAGCTTTCTCTTTGGTATTTTTACAAATATTTCCATCTTTAAGACTGGAGCTTTCTGACTTTTGCTAACAACATGTCCAGATCTAAAGGCATTACAGAAAGAATGTCAACTTGCTTTAGAAGCAATTAAACATACAGTCGAGGAAAAGGCCAATTTTACTATGCAGGGACCACACATACTGTATGTTTGTTACATTACTTGATATCAAAGCAGAAACATCAAATTCTTCCTAAAACACACTTGAAATGAAGAGTCTGGCTAAGGAACTCCCACATCCAATTCAGAGATATCTGTTACAGTTTACAGAACTTGGCAATGCTGACACTATTGTTTTACTGGAAAGAGATAATTTATTGACTATATAATAAACTATGGCTTCTTTAATTATATATATATGTACTGGGTAAAATGAACATGATTTTGATCCCAACCGCCATAAATGCGGGCATATTATCAATGACACTTAGGTACCACATCACCAGAGGAATAGCAAGAATTTGCTGATTCTGTGTCACTAGATGACCTCAAAATATTTAATCAGCCTTCAGGATCATTATCATAGCTTCAGAGGGAGTGGTCTATAGCAAGAATTATCATCTTTCTTTTTCATTTTGCATCATCATGATGTTGGTGTGATGACTTTCATTCATTTGTTCAACATGCATTTACTGAGTATCTCTACTCAGTGCCAAACACAGGGATAGGGAAAACAGAGGGAAATGAGACGTGCGCCTCAGGGAAATGTATTCTTGGGGTGGGAGAGGGGAGACAGACAGAAAACAAGCTCAATAAATCAGGGTGGTGCACGCTATATAACAGATCTGTGCACGAGGAATGAGCCTGGAGAAGAAGCAAGGGCTGTCCTAGGAAGGGCTCTGTACCCCTGATAAGGAATTTAGACTTTACACTGCAGGCCATATTTTTACTTATTCCTGAAACACTCAAAAGATAAAACAAAACAGTATGATACTGGCATAGAGATAGATAAATTAATGAAACAGAATAGGAAATAGAGAAACAGAATAGAAAATTTAGCTGATATATATGTGGAAGTTTAATATACAAAAAAGCTAGCATTTCCAATTAGTGAGTAAGGAATGGATTTTTTCAGCAGTGGTGTTTGGACAACTGAATAACCATTTGAAAATAAAATTTAATTCCTATATGCCATACTGCACATTAAAAAAAGAAATCACAGATGGATTAAAGATTCAGACGTAGATGTTTATAATCTTGGGGTTAGAGGATGTCCTTTTTTAATGTGTCATCAAGGTCAGATATCACAAAGGAAAAGATAGATATAATCACAAAATCACAGTCTTCAAAACTCACAAACTTCTGAAAGGTGTAAGACACTATAGTTGTAAGACAACTGACAAGTTGGGGAAAATATTTGTAATTTATGTAATAGTTGAAGGATTAGTACCTATAATATATACAGAACTCCTACAAATTAATTAAAAAATCTAACCTAAGAGAAATGGGCGAGAGACACAAAATAAGCAATTCATGAAAGAAACAATACCTAATGATATAAAAGTATGCTCAACCCCAGTTACAATCAAAGGAATACTATTAAGACACTTTTATTTTTCACTTATTAGATTATAAACAGGAGATGCATGTTAGTGACAGATATATCAAATAATGACTGATAATGTCCAGTGTTTGAGAGGGTGTGGAGAAGTGAGAACTCTCAAATACTAAGGATATAAAAGTCAGTACATACTTTTTGGAAGATAATTTGGCAACATCTATGATATAAAATGTGCATATCATTTGATCTTTTAAGTCCATTGATAGCAATTTTTAAAAATAGAAATATATGCATACATACACACATAAATGCGAAAAAATAGTATGAGAATATATACTGTACTATTGTTTATAATAGTGAAAATATGGAAACAACCTAATGGGCCACCAAAGGGATTAGTTTAATAAACTGCAGTATGTAGATAAATAAATTACTATGCTGTTGTTAAAAAGAATTTATTGGCATGGGACGACATAAATGACATATGTTTAATTAGCAAAAGAGTAGCCCCAGTATAATCTGCTAAGAGAGGTAGTGAACTACAGAGTTAGGAGCATGGGCTTTGGGGTCAAGCTCACTGGATTTGAGTCCCAGCTTCAAGATTTACCAGATATGTGAAAATTACTAACTTTTCTGAGTCTTGGTTTCTTCATCTGTCCAACTGGAATGGCTCCTAACAGAACCTACCTCTAAGAGTTATATGGAGAATTCCTAGTACATAGTAGAGGCTAAACATGTACTAGTTGTTATTATTACTGTTATCTTTTTGGTATAATGATTATTTTCAACCAATTCTCTTATGAAAACAACTTCAAAAAGCACATCTAATATCCTTTGGAAAATTATGCTCAATAGAGGCTTTAACTGAATCTATACATCAAAGACAATTTTAGTTTATGTAACAAAAATATTCTATTTATCTGATCATCTAATAGATAGGATGATGAACCTGACACATCAATTTTTGATAAAGATATGTTTTGATTGAATATTCATAAACCAGAATGCAAACAAGGAACACATTTGGGCGCTATATTTAAGAATCAAAATAAAGAACTATCACATTTAGATATCCTCAGTTATAAGAACTTTAAAAAGCCTCAATAGCACAAAATAAAAATTGTCCTCTAGTTATCAAACTATTATTCATAAAAGATATTATTAACATCCTTTTTGTGGTAGTTTCTATCATATACATATTTAATTTTCAACCGTATTATCCAGAAAAACACACACAAAAATAGGAAGACACCCTTTTAAATATTTTTCCCTACTAAGACTAGGAAAAGAAATCATTCAAAATGAGAAAACACGTTGTGCAGTAATATATTAAAATGCCCACATCAACAGAGAGACTATATATAAAGAACCATACATACCCTTCTGTGCGGAAAATCATTCGAAAGCTGTCTCCTAAGCTTTTGTAACTGTTTGGATCAGTTGCACATCTCTGAATCTGGAACCTAGAAACAAAATCAAACAAACAAAAAAAATCCAAGTTAAGGATTTTGCCAAATGGCTTTTCTCATTTTTCAAAGTCTTAGGAGGCTCAGCCTTTTCAGATTAATCTAAAGTATTCTGGGTTTTGCTACAGATTTTACTGATTTATTTGTCTTGTATAATCTTTACCTTATTTTTGTAGCCTTTAAAATTATGATATTTCTCTGTACTTTAATAGAACTGCAGAAAGAGTTGTTTTCATCTGTTTCTTAGCTAGGCAGATGCACCCTGAGGCATTTATGCTTTTTGCTTTTGCGAAAAGCACACACAGATGTCATAGATTGTTTTAATGCATAATTCAGAAATATGAAGATGCATATGAAACAAATAAGTAGCTCTATTTCTTATCTTAATTAGTGCTCTTTGATGGTAATTTAATACAAAGTTTAAAAATACAGAGCAGCTAATATGGCCTAACTTTGATCCTGATTATGAATTTGGAATTCATTCTGGCAGACAGGAGCCTGCGTTTAGAGCAAGAATTCGGGTCATACCGTGATACAATTTATTATCAAGTACTTCATGATAGAGCAGAGTGGTCACTAGGGGTAGTTCAGGTTACCTGGACCTTCACAGAAGCACAGTGCTCTGCGTGTAGTTTGTGCGCAATAAAGATGTATCCCATTTTAGAAAGCCAAATTCTTTTTTTTCTTCTTCGTTTTTGGTATGATCATGCATCTCAGAACTCTAACCTTCAAAATGTGGAAGTTCCCGGTATGAGGGTCTTACGTATTTTGTGTCTTACCCTGGGGTCTGTTTCTAATGAGATTTATGACAAGTATTGTCATTTCCCTACACCCCAGTTCTCCAGTTTCGCTTTTCTTTAGGCTGCCTACTCCTTGTGTTTAGCCTTCTTGTCCCAATTCTAAGTTAAGCCCCTTCTTCCTTCTGTACTTCCCTCCACAGTTTTAGCAAGCCTTTTAAAATAGAAATTTTCAGAAACACCCCTAATATTGTCTACTCTAAGATGCTTTTCTCAGATTGTTAGATTTATGACATGAACACAACTTCTAATTCTGAGAATGATTTATTTTATAGTTCTAGGCCCCAGGGAATTATGCTGAAAATTAACACATATATCACAGAGAAGTGTGAATATTTTGCTTTGATTGAAGTGATTGGGCATATGAACAGAATAAGCAGACTATAAGACTGGACAGTGAGGCTGGATTACATTTGAGTCTGTAAAGTGGAGAGGTGCTGAACGTGATTGTGTAGGAGAGTAGCCGTCCTGAGATGAAGGAGTTGATTCTTCCAGTAGAGTACTTGAAATATACAAATTCCTAATAAAATATTTATTGTCTGATTGGGTGGATTAGAATGGGAGTATGGAGGGCTGAATGATGATGAAGGCAATTATGATAGTCTGGGTGAAGATAATGATGCCAGAATATGAATGGAGGAAACAAATGTAATAAAAGAGGTGTGCTTGCTGGGTGATTGTTTTTTTCTTTAAATCAATGGGTTTTTTAAATGATACATTCAACATGATCCTCTCTTGATCCTCATCAACCCAGCAAGTAATATTCCACTGCCCTAGACTTACTATTGCCAAAGTTTAAAATGTCATAAATATTCATAATGTTTTTTGCTTGTCAAACTTACATCTCTATTAGCATGATCATTTTTAGGAGGTTAGTTTCTAGGCAAGAACTATATCCCTAAAATTTAAATTGCATGGAGCTTATCAGAAGATCATGAAGCATTACGACTAACTCATTTAAACTGTTCTGGATCCAGAGGTGCATTTGGTGTGTGTATAACCACTGGCCTAGAAGACTCAGTAAGCAGTTCTGTCTCGAATCGAGAACATGATTTGATGGTCAGGTAGGTGGACCACGTTTGGTATTTCTGGACGACTGTATGTAGATGAGATAATCTGGGACTTGGGATACAAATGAATTAACTAATGCTAAACACAAAATAGTACAATGGAATAACTACAGGTAAGTTTATACAACAAATAATCTTGGAACATAGAGAGCGATTTCCAAAATATGACTTTGATCCTAATTCAGAAAAGAATCTCCATCTCTGCATTTGCATATTTGTAACCTACATTCATCGTTGGGTATGAAAAATTTCTTATGTCTAACTTTCAAGAGAATAACTTAAAATAGTTTTATATATTATAAAAACATTACATGCTTATAGATTTTTCTCATAATATCTGTAATAATTTTCATTAAGTTCATTTCCCCCTGTCAAATTCCTTTCTGGATACTTTTCTCCCAAATTACCAAGTATTTTTAAAATATTTGCCATATGAAATAAGATGCTATAGGTTTTACGAAAACCCAGGGCATTATCCCCACTCTCAAGAAACCCAATAAATAAATGAGAAAAAAAATTTTTACAATAAAAGGGAAAATATCCAAAATGTCAAGTAGCATCAGCACAAGTTGCCCAGGTGTTCATCAGAGGGAGCAATTACTGCTTTCTGCAGAGGATCAGGAAGGATCTCAGGAAGGAGAAGGGATTTAAGCTGGTCCTATAGGATTCGGAGAGGCAAAAAGAGTAAGCCAGGAGGAAGCATTTCAGGTGGGGAATTGAGAGAGGGAAAGATGTCCTTTTAATAGAAGTGAAAGAAAAGATCTCCCACCATGACAACCTCCAGTGTTTCGTTCAGGATGGATGTTACAGCATCCTGCTGGTGGCATTCAGCTGCTCAGGGTGGATGGAGACCTGAGCGGGTTAGAGGAGGGTGTTTATGAGATAAAGTCAATGACCAATATAGAGCGTTTGGCCTTTTCCTGCTCCTCAGCGGAGCATTTCAGATAACTCTGTGGCCATCTCACAGTCATGTGACCCGGTCCTAGAAGGAACTGTGAGTCACCAGAGGGACCAAAGCAAGTGAATCCTAATGGCAAGAAAATTGACCTTAGCTCCTCTTTTATTTATGGGGTTAGAGACATCAGCTTTGTCTATGATGTCTGCATGTACCAGTAATACCAAGGCGGGTCCTCTGTCAGCTTACACAAAAATGAATACAGAGTACAATTACTTCTTAATTAACTAGTTATCTAACTTGGCTATTGGAAGTCTAGGCACTTCACTCATTAGTTGCAATTTCTTTCTTTTTTCAGAATCCAACAGATGATAATATTTCCAATCCACTATTCTCAGTTAATGGGTTCTTGAATACTTACTATGTATTAGGTACTCCACTATTTGGGGCATTATGAAGAAATAAGAAATAATCCTGCCCTTTAGAAGTTTATAGCTATGTGAAGGAGATGTACAAATAGATGATTACCATATGCAAGGAATAATGTTTAGGAATAGTATTTCAGAGTATCACATGTCAGACAATGAGTTTTACTGGCACTGAATAAACACTAGTATTACTTTTACTGGAGATGATCTTATCTATGGCTGACAGAAAATAGTATCAATATTATGCAGTGACATTAGAGGGAAGAGGGAAAACGGGAAGGATATATTTGGGCTAAATATCTGTGATCAAACCTTACCCTCCCACTTTAAAACAGGCAGCAAGGACAGTCAGCGGAATCTTTGAGGAGTGTTCCATTTAGAAGCTGACTGTCTGATGAGTGATGCTGTGTTCATTACAAACAGGAGCGGCAACATCAAATAGCATCACACGAGGAGAGTCCACAAGCCGTGTTGCAGAGCAATGCAAAAGGATGGGCAGGCATGGTACATACTAATTCCTCTGTAAAGCCTCCCGCCATTCCTTACTATCCTAAAGCAGCTAGAGGTCCCATTAAACAGGCTAAGGCAAGTACAGCTGTCTCTTCTACTGTACATCTCACTTACGGTGTGTCTGCACTCTGCAGAGAAAGTCCATGCTGTATTTAGTTCCACTACACATGACTTATTCTGATCACAGACTTATCAGTTCTTCTAAGGAATCTGTTTCAAGTTGATATAATTACAGTGCATTTTGGTCAATCATGTAAAACAGCAATTTCCTTCTTCATCTCTTACATTTCAGCAACTTAAAAGGTTTCTCTCGAATTGAGGCTTTACATCAGCATTTTCCAAGCTGCGTTCTGTGCTAACAAATTCTCTCTATGCTCGAGGAGACAATTTTCCAGTTACGTAATAGAACTCTTTGTAAAATAACAAAGGCAAAGCCACACTACTCTAAATACAATCAAGATATCTAGAAGAAAAGATTGGACTTTCCCATTGTCCTAATAAAAGCAGTTTAGCCACATCTGGAATCTCCATCTGAGGAACTTCTTTTATTAGAATGAAAACTTGCTGCCAAATGGGCAAACTGGACAATGGAGTAATACTTAAGAAATATTCAGTGCCTAATATCAGGTCAGAAAGAAACACAGGGAAAGGAGTGTGGCTCAAACCCTACGCTCCATTGCCCAGCAGCCAGTGGTCCCATCTGCCATGGAGCCAGGGAGCCTGGTGCTACACACTCTCAAAATTGGGAGGGAACGGCTCTACCATCCACCACACCATAAATATGAAGCAAGTTATTGCGGTTACGACAGGGCAAGGAAGAGCTGCTCTGTGTTCATGAGCAAATGTACAAGCATATTTTCAGAAGCAAAAGAACGTTCTCACTCACTGAAATATTTTTCTTTAAACTGGTCAAGAACCATTACTGCACTATTTCCTCCGACTTGATTGTGTGGTTCGTCAGTGATGCCAAAGTCTGTCGTTGACTCTTAGCACTGTTAGAAATGTCACTTTAGGCATTCAGCTTGTCCGAGCACTTCCTAAGATATCATGAGAATGATACGTGTTGAGAAATACAATGACTTTATTACTGCCTTAAAAGCTGTAGAATGAGGTTGTTTGAAAATTCCTAAATCTCACATTTATGCAATGCCTTTATTTTCCAAAGTAAATTTTACATCTATCATCTTCATCTACTGTTGGCTGATGGAGTCTATACTGGGAAGTGGAGGCTGTAGGGCACACACACATGCACATATATATATGTATATATACATGCATATGTATATGTAATCTATAT